AATCTACGCACGAGATCAAAGTGGACAGCTGTACCGCCACTGACATGCTTTTACAAGAAGAACATATTGCGGATTCAACTGAAGACCAGAGAGACCAAGACAGTATAAACCAACAAGGAAGTGAATCCAACCAGACATTTTCATCCAGTGGTGTGGGAAGCTCAACAGCAACTGGTGAAACATAATTTACCTCTGGTAATACTGTGGTATTATAACCATGATTGTTTGGGGCATGGTATTTTGGTAATACCATGTTTTTTAACATGGTACCATGGTAATATCATGTGTTGGTCATGCACCAAATTAAAATATTGTTTTTGGCCATGTACCATGGTAAAATCCTAGTAGTCTTGGAGCAGGGTTATTGTTGTTAACTAAACCTAGAGCTATTAAAAGCATTTTGTTAATTAAAATAAAGCAGAAATAAAATATTATATGAAAAACTAAATGTATCTATTATGAATAAATAGGAATGCATAAATAAATAAAAACTTAAACTGAACTAAAAATACATTTAAATAGTAATATAAAAAAAGTTAAAAATTGCTAAATTACTAAAAATTAAAATACAAACAGAAAATCTAAAAATAAATGTTAATTTAAATATTAATAAAAACTATAATATGGTAGTAATTTAGTACCATTGTTAAAAAAAAATTGTATTACCATCCAATACCATTGAAGTACTATTACAGTTTTTTTGTTTGTTTGTTTTTTTGCAAAAAATGTAAACAAATATTAAGCACATTCTCTGTTATATACCTAAATCATTTTCGTATATTCATATGAATATTTCTATTTCTAATGCATTTGTGTTTCTTCCAGTTAAGATCTTGCTGATGCCAGAGAGGCACATGATAATGGTGACCTTCACTATTGGCCTCACGATCCAGGATCTGAAAAAATACTTCAGCTTAGAGCTGAGGGTCCCATCAGACATTATACAAATCACTCTAGACGGTAAGATGCAAAAGATATTTGAAAGTGGCCTTCGTAGGAGAAATTGTGAAAAATTCGGACATTTCTGAAAATAAAAGAACATACATACTGTAGAGGTGAATTGAGGTAAATTGGGACACTTTTTGCCAGTGAGATGACTGGAAAAAAAATGTCCCAATTATCCTAACCTATAATGTTGCCAAGGGAGCATTAAAATTCTCTCTGATAATTTTTAGTTATTTATTTCTAGGAAAAAGTGTGGATGATGACCAGACGCTAATGGACATTGGTGTGCAGCCACATGGGATGATCCAATTTGAGATGAGCTCGCTAGACCACGAGAATTACCTCATGAGACCAATCAAACCACAGCAGGAGTACAACATGCCGGATGTCATCAGGTACAAACAAAGTTACAACTGACTAAAGCATCACAAGGACAGACAAGCATTTGTGACAACTCTCTCGCTTGAAGACACAGACTTGTATCAGGACGTGGTGGTGGAGATCGAGAGAGCCACTCGAGGGAAGACATTTCTGGGAGGATACTGTCACAAGGTGACCAAGGCAGAGTATCATCATACTGCTGTACAGACGATGCCCAAGAAGAAGCCTGATAGGGGCGTTGAGATGTTCAGTAGGGATACACAGGTGTGCGCACACATACACACCATAAAATGGATTCCAAACAAGAGTTTGTTGATTTCCACTATGCCGAACCCCTGAGTGAATGACACCTTACACAGTAATAAAACACTTTAAATGGACAGAACTTTCATCTCTTTGCCTCAATTTCATTTACATTGAATTAAAGGAACTATCACTTAGTGAAAGAATGGCATATAATGCATTTGCTTATGAAAATTAGCTGTTTAATTAAACTTTTAATTCTATATAAAATATATTGTATATAAAATATGTATTATATATAATATTTCAAATATATGGTATTGTAATATTATTCTAAAAATTGTTATATGATATTAAAATATTTATAAAAAATTTGTTTGAATAAAAATGATCCCTTATATTTTAATTATGTATCCATTGTTTATTGTTTATAAAACACACACACACACGGAGTGAATCTTTAATAAAAACTTCAAAAAAAAAAAATGTGTTACCCATATATTTAATGATTTATAAAACATCGGCTCACTTTATAATGTCAAGACAATTGGATTTAAAAATTAATTACATTTTTAAAAAGATTATAAAATTTGGCCAAAATCACAATATTATTGACCACAAATATAACTAGGGCAGAACAAAACATATTTTATTCTTTTATATTCCAAATCAGCTATTACATATTTTAGTACATTTATTTAGTACATTGTTTGTTTGTTTTGTTTATTTATTTATTTATGAAACTTTGGATGAATAAAATACAGGTTCCAATTATTCTGTTTTTCACAAAATAAATAGAAGCAGTAAAACACTTTTTAAAATATATTAATACTTTTATTCAACAAGGACATAATAAATTATTTAAAAGTGACAGTTTATAATGTTACAAAAGATGTTGTAAGATGTTGTTTAAATGCTGTTTTGAACGTTCTATTTATCAAAGTATCTTGAAAAAATGTATGATAGTTTCCACAAAAATATTAAGCAGCAAAACTATTTTAACATTGATAATAATAATAATAATAATAATAATAATAATAATAATAATAAATGTTTCTTGAGCACTAAATATGCATAGAATGATTTCTGAAGGATCATGTGACGTTGAAGACCGGAGTAATGACTGCTGAAAATTCAACTTTGCATCACAGGGATAAATTACATTTTAAAATATAGTAACATAGAAAACAGTTATTTTACATTGTATAAGATTTTACAATATTACTGTTTTTACTGTATTTTTCATCAAATAAATGCACAGTGTAGCTTCAAATCTGGGTTGCTGTTTTGACTGCAGTGCATACTTCTAATTTTCTTTTCCCTTTAAACAGACGGTTGAGTTGAAGAACCAGGCTCAGCAGTGCTCCAAGAACGCCTCGACTCAGATGACCAAAATCGGCTGTTATGTGTCCAACATGGAGGACAAGCTCATCACCCCAGAGACTTACATCACTGCAGGAGAGTATCACAGCAAGAGACTGAGAGCTGTACGTGTGTTTGGTGGGGTTGAGAGGGAATTGCGTTCATTCTGTGCTTTCACTGTTCATGACAAATGCTTGTATGTGTGTGTATGTTTACCTCAGGTCATTACACTACAGTCACATGTCAGGTGTTGGCTAGCCAAGTGTTTCACAGACAGCTTGAGACAGGCTAAAGAGCAGCATCTAGCATGGCTGGAAAATGAAAAGAGAAGGACGAAAGAGGAGAAAGAGCAGCAGATCAGAGATGAATATCACCGCAGGATGAATCCGGAGTCAAAGGCAGATTTTGATCTGCTTTATAATGCCATGAAAAGTGAGTAAGTGAGTGTTTGTGTAGTAACTAACTACAAGTAGCAATGCTACTAACTTAAAGGTGAAGAGTGTATTTTCTGCACCACTAGAATCACCCAATAGAATTGCAAAAATATTGACTTTATTTTAATAACAGGTCTTCCTGGAACTCCATGAACACACAGATAGTCATCAAATTAATTATATTTGACTCTGCCCATTAAGCTGTATTTTAACCTAGAAAAAAGATCAGCTTTACTACATGTTTTAGTAGCATGTCAATTGCTTAGCTGCTTTCATAATAGCTTTTACAAGCTACTGCTTTTTCGGTCATATACTGCATGTATGTGTGCAGCTTTTTAGTCAATAGGTGGGTTCAGTCAGTTCATGCAAATGAACTGCTTATAATAAATGATTGACTGATTCATTTCAGTCCCTTTACAGACTGTCCTCATTTTGTGAAGTAAAATATAATTAAATACTGTTGTGCATCACTGTGTTTTTTAGGGCTGGGTTTTGACACAAATTTCACGATTTGATTAGATTCTCATTCACAAGCTTGTGATTCGATTCGATTACCGATTTGATTCGATTCAAATCAATATTGATTATTTTGGATATATATCAGGTACAGTACATGCCCAATTTTC